TTTTTTTGGGTTTTTTTGGCGGGCTCACCCCGCGCTGCTGGTCCATCTTGTGCTGCTGTTTTTTTTTGTTTTTTTTGATGACCTGGCGGATGCCGTTGACGAAGCCGCTCTGGTCGTTGGGGATGAGGCCCATGAAAATTTTCTTTTTGGAGGAGTAGAGGAGCATGAGGACGCGCACCTCGCACGGCGCCGTGTGCGGGAAGTGCACGCAGCCGGCCTGCGGCGCGGGAAAACGGCGTCACAACGGTAAGAAATGGCGTTAAAACGGCAGAAAATGGCATTAAAATGGTAAAAAACGGCATTAAATGGTATGAAAATGGCAGGAAATGGCATTGAAATGGCAGGAAATGGTAAGAAATGGCATTAAATGGTATTAAAATGGCATTAAAATGACAGAAAATGACACTAAAATGGCATTAAAATTGCAGAAAATGGCATTAAAATGGCAGCAAATTAGGATAATTTTGGGGTCCCCAGGATAATTTCGGGGTCCCGAGGATATTTTTGGGGTCCCCAGGATGATTTTGGGGTCCCCAGGGATAATTTTGGGGTGCCAGGATGATTTTGGGTTGCCAGGATAATTTCGGTGTCCCCAGGATAATTTTGGTTTCCCCAGGATAATTTTGGGTTGCCAGGATAATTTCAGGGTCCCCAGGATAATTTTTGGGGTCCCCAGGATAATTTTTGGGGTCCCCAGGATAATTTGGGCTCCCTGAGAATAATTTCGGTGTCCCCAGGATAATTTTGGGGTGCCAGGATAATTTTTGGGGTCCCCAGGATAATTTTGGTTTCCCTGGGAATGTTTTGGGCTCCCTGAGGATAATTTCAGGGTCCCCAGGATAATTTTGGGGTCCCCAGGATAATTTGGACTCCCTGAGGATAATTTCGGGGTCCCCAGATAATTTTGGGGTCCCCAGGATAATTTTGGGGTGCCAGGATAATTTTTGGGGTCCCCAGGATAATTTTGGTTTCCCTGGAAATGTTTTGGGGTCCCGAGGATGATTTTGGGGTGCCAGGATGATTTTGGGGTCCCCAGGATATTTTGGTTTCCCTGGGAATGTTTTGGGCTCCCTGAGGATAATTTCGGGGTCCCCAGGGATAATTTTGGTTTCCCCAGGATAATTTTGGGGTGCCAGGATAATTTTGGGGTCCCCAGGATGATTTTGGGGTCCCCAGGGATAATTTCGGGGTCCCCAGGATAATTTCGGGGTCTCCAGGATAATTTCGGGGTCCCCAGGGATGATTTTGGGTTCCCTGAGGATAATTTTGGGGTGCTGGGGAAGTTTTTGGGGTACCCAGGATAATTTTGGTTTCCCTGGGAATGTTTTGGGCTCCCTGAGGATAATTTTGGGCTCCCTGAGGATAATTTGGGGGTCCCCAGAATATTTTGGTTTCCCTGGGAATGTTTTGGGCTCCCTGAGGATAATTTTGGGGTCCCCAGGATAATTTTTGGGGTCCCCAGGATAATTTTTGGGGTGCCAGGATAATTTGGGCTCCCTGAGGATAATTTTGGGGTGCCAGGATGATTTTGGGGTCCCCAGGATGATTTGGAGTCCCTGAGGATAATTTCGGGGTCCCCAGGGATAATTTCGGGGTCCCCAGGGATAATTTCGGTGTCCCCAGGATAATTTTAGGGTCCCCAGGATAATTTCGGGGTCCCAGGGATAATTTTGGGGTGCCAGGAGGATTTTGGGGTGCCAGGAGGATTTTGGGGTCCCCAGGGAGGATTTTGGGGTGCTCACAAAGCCGTTGCCCATGATCCTGTAGAGGCCCTTGAGCGACTCCAGGTCTTTGTTGGTGAAGTGGAACTGGACCATGCGGGAATTGCGGAACAGGGGCCCCAGCGTGGTCTGGGAGGGGGAAAAATGGGCTCAAAAATCCCAAAAATCGCCAAAAAAAACAACTCTTAAATTCATAAATCAGAAAATATCATCAACGACACGAAATGTCAC